ATTGTTATTACTATCCTTGTGGGGACATTTGGTCCCCATAATGTGATAAATACCAGGTACACACACACACACATACACACACACACACACACATATGGTATTCCCTACATTATGGGGACACACAAGGAAGTTTATATCAGTAAATTTTGACCTTGAGGGGAACTTGACCTTTTTTTGTCATTATATTTAAATTAGATTTTAAATTAAAATGAAAAGAATTAAAATTTTAGTTAAAGTTTTAGTAATTTTGCTGTGTTTTTGTCTTTGTTTTTTTTGGTCTCTATGAGTAAAACAGCTTATAAATCATGCAGAATGATTTAAAAAAAATCTAAAATAGCAGAAAGCTTTCTGTGATGGGTAGGGTTAGGATAACAGGATAGAAAATACAGTTTGTACAGTATAAAAACCATTACGTCTATAGAAAATCCTCATAAAAATGGAAACCAGTGTGTGTGTGTGTGTGTGTGTGTGTGTGAAATTTGTTATTTTTTCTTTGTGTATTCATTAATTTCCTATTTTATTTGATACATTGGCTGAAGACGTCAATATAACAAGGGCATGTCAACCCGGTGAACAAACGCACAGCTCCTCATCTCATTATAAGAGGATGAAAAGTAAAGTAATCCATGTCAAGTCAAGAACACCACAGCTGATGTGAATAGAGCTACTGTGTGTCTGCTCATCCAAAGAAGAAAAAGATAGACTTCTGTCACATGTAGAGTTCAGATTGGCAACCTGTCACTGATAGCTCGATTTTGTATTATTTATGAGGCTTTGTGCTTTCTAAAATGACAATATCATAATTCATAAAAATCAATCCAAAAAATGGCCTCATGCACGAGGGGATTTAAAACAAGCCAGGACAAACACTGATTTGTTTACAGGCTAAAATGAAAACATCTACTAATTCCTCCAACACTTTTGATTAAATGCCACAGATGAGTACATTTGCTAATTGAATCCCTGACATACAATAAACTCACAACAATAACATTTCAAGTACCTACAGATGAGTCTATAGCGTGCGTAAACACAAGACATAAACACACTCTTACCTATGACGAATTCTGTGAACTTCACAACAGTAACAAAACAATGAAGGTTCTCCTCAAATAGAAGTGATTGCCTTCCAGGAAACAATACTCAAAGTGTTTCCACTGCTTTAAGAACAGATAATGCATAATTTCTCCTCGTAAGCAGACACAAATGAGCTTTATGGGCGCAGATGGCTCAGGCGCACATTCTAATTCCCTACAACTCATGAGCTTGTTGTGGTGACCAGAGCGCTCCACAAAACCCTGAGGGCTCCCAGCTGACACCAAACTGTATCGGCTTTTTAGCACTATTTTGTAGCATAATCAAATATAAAAAATCACTATGAATTTATTTCACTATGAATGTCTATTTCATTTGACCAGTCATGGCTGTCCTGAACAAATAAATATCAGAATGCATATGAGCCTGAGTGTATAATACACAGCCACTGTGTATGTAGGAATATAGAGGACTGAGTCTGAGTGAGAATATTTGATATGTGAAAACAAACCAGTGAGGCAGCCGAGGGTTTGCACATGATCTCCCCTCTCAGGAATGTGCTGAAACTCAATCCATCGTCTTAAGCTGGATTTCCATACACTAACATTACCCACAGAGCTCAGCAGACCTTAACTGACAATGCAGGATTATGAGCATGAACATCATTTCATCTGCGCTGGTGGGGATCATATCAAGTGACATATCCAATTTCAAGACTGCAGACTGATGAGTTGTTTTATATAAAGATTAGCAAAAGATTACTTATTTTAGGAAAAAACATGCCAGATAGATAGATAGACAAATAAACAGACAGGTAAAACAATAAATTGACAGACAGACAGACAGATAGACAAACAGAAAGATGATGGATGGACTGACAGACAGACAGACAATTGGATAGATAGATAAATATTCAAATAATATAAAATATTTTGTAAATATTAAACATATAATTTTGGTTTGGTATTTTAATATTATATTAATTTTTTTTATACTTTTAAAAAAATATTATTTATGCTATTGTTACTGTTACTGCTGTCCCTCTCTTGCTAGTTGTTTATTACAGATAGACAGACAGACAAACAGACAGATAGATGGATGGATGGACGGACGGATGGATAGAGACAGACAGACAGACAGACAGACAATTGGATATAGATAGACAGACAGACAGACAGACAGACAGACAGACAGACAATTGGATAGACAGACAGACAGACAGACAGACAGACAGACAGACAGATAGATAGATAGATAGATAGACAGACTGTTAAATACAATAAATATTCAAATAATATAAAATATTTTGTAAATATTAAACATATAATTTTGGTTTGGTATTTTAATATGATATTTATTTTGTATCATTTTTAAATATTAGTTATGCTATTGTTACTGTTACCGCTAACAGGTGGTCATCATTTTCCAAATTCATTACTTTTGAGTTGTAATATATTTCTTACCACTAGATAGCGCTCACACAACATTGTTTCTCACATAGCTTACATATTCTAACTAGAAGGAGCTGGCATGAACTTTCACTTCCTGGTCTCGTTGTCTGCCTGATTTGCATAAGAGACAAGTTTTAGGTCAACAGTGCTGGCTCCCGACAATGCTAATTTGCTTCATGTTTGAACGTCTCCTCCTGTTGTACGTCTTGTCAACAGACACTTTTTGTGTTAGGCAACAGTATGAAAATGACTCTTATGTTTTCAAGCAACTACATCAGGTACCTTTACTGCCTGAACCAGTTATCACAAGCATCTTGCAGGCGGTCACGTCCATGAGTCAACATAACCTATTGACAAGGCCAACTGCAGAGGGTCACATACAAGGTTTCTAGGAACTGTCTGATGGACTCATCAGATCTACTCAAAAGCTCACATTTAGGTCTGTTAACCTTTCTGAATCACTGCTTGGTCCACATGGAAAAAATCAATCCAACCAGACACCAAGCCGACTAAACAAACATGCGCAAACACGAAGTTGATTGTGTCGTGTTGTAGATGGCCAACAGCTGTCATGAATGCATTGTTTTGTTTTCTACTTGTTAATTTACAAATATTTTTGCCCTGACATGTTTCCAAAAAGAGGGAAAATATAGTAAACAGCTGGCCAACAGGTTAACCTCCCCCCAAATTAGTTCCATATGTGCTAATCTATGGAAAACACTTCATAGAAATGTATTACAAGGTCAATTTAGCAGATTTCAACCTCCTCAAAAGTTAGAGAATAAAGGACGTGGGTTCAAAGAAAATGTGGAAGAGTAACTTCACAGTCTGGCGTCAAGGGATATTTGTTCCCGTGTAGTCAGATTACAGGCAGCTACGCATTGCAGAGATGAATAATGCAGCAGGTGTCTGTCTACCTGGAAGCTGATGGCCCCACCTGGTTACTATAGTGACAGACAACAGCCCCAGAAGGCACAAAGGTGTGCGTCTCCGCTCTTTACTCTCCCCACGTGTGTTTGGAGGAGGGGAAGGTGGGAACTTGACGGGCACGAATGGTGGATCACGTACGCCTCATGTTCTGAGAGAATAAGGTACAAGAGATGGACAGGTGGGACCATTCATGTTTGGGTCTTTCAAAATTCATGCCATCCTGCGAAAAGGGAAACATAGGCTGGACAAGCACCAGAGAGAAAGGAAAACTTTACACAGAGCTGATAGCAAGACATGCCGAGGCATGTCGATTTCTCCCAGCAGAGCTTCTACAGACAGGAGGATTTGAACCTGTGGCTCTACTAGTTCAACTAGTCAATCTTGAATGAAGTACAGCAGAACATACTGGATAAGTCAAAACAGACACCGGGGAGACTGTTATGGACTTTAGAATCACTAATCTAATGCATTACACTGTTTTTATTTCTTTTCTTTTATTTCTTTTCATTTCCTCATAGTCCAAAAACTCTTTGCTTTTATACAATTGATCTTTTTACTGACAGTCATTTGAACCTGTGGCTCTACTAGTTCAACTAGTCAATCTTGAATGAAGTACAGCAGAACATACTGGATAAGTCAAAACAGACACCGGGGAGACTGTTATGGACTTTAGAATCACTAATCTAATGCATTACACTGTTTTTATTTCTTTTCATTTCCTCATAGTCCAAAAACTCTTTGTGCGAGCTTTTATACAATTGATCTTTTTACTGACAGTCATAACAAGGTCACAGTATCACATGCAGTGAGGGACGCACCCGTTGATTACCACATCACTGCATGCTTTCAGTGTGAGACCATCACAGGCACGTGCCTCTCCTAATCACCATACTCCTTCAGGTAAACATCACTCACAGTTGCTGAAATTGAAGCCAGTGACCTTTAGTTGGCCTTCTTGAGACTTGGAATTAAGAGGTTGGTTTTATGCAAATTAATGGCATTAGATACACTCTACGCCATATTTCACATTTATTCAATGCATTTACATCATTTGGCATTATAACATTTTCATTTCCGGCACTGTTTTCAACTCATTTTAAAGGGATAGTTCACCCAAAAATGAAAATTCTGTCATTCACCCTCATGTCGTTCCAAACCTGTGAGACCTTCGTTCATCTTCGGAACACAAATTAAGATATTTTTGATGAATTCCGAGAGCTCTCTGACCCTCCCATAGACAGCAAGCATACTACCACAGTCAAGGTCCAGAAACGTACCAAGGACATCATTAAAATAGTCCATGTGACATCAGTGTTTCAACTGTAATTTTACAAAGCTACGAGAATACTTTTTGTGCGCAAAGAAAACAAAAATAATGACTTTATTCAACAATAACACGCGGATATGTTGTCTACGTTGTTTATGCTTTGATCTGAACGAAAACAACATATCCACGTGTTGCGGCTAACAAAGAACAGCATACGTTGTTTACGTTTAGTGGATACTCTCTAAAATGGCGGCAGGGTGACGCGGAGGAGACAAATTGTTGAATAAAGTTGTTATTTTTGTATTCTTTGCGCACAAAAAGTATTCTCGTAGCTTCATAAAATTACGGTTGAACCAATGATGTCACATGGATCATTTTAACCTTATTACATTTCTGGACCTTGACCGTGGTAGTATGCTTGCTGTCTATGGGAGGGTCAGAGTTAAATATCTTAATTTGTGTTCCGAAGATGAACGAAGGTCTTACAGGTTTGGAACGACATGAGGGTGAGTAATTAATGACAGAATTTTCATTTTTGGGTGAACTACCCCTTTAAAGGATTCACTTTACCAAAGATATGCTTTGGAAAGTTTAAATGAGTGAATATGTTGTGAATATTTAATCAATTAAATTATTGTCACACACATTTATCTACCTATTGAGTTTTTTAGATTATAGAACAGTGTTTAGTTTTAGGGTAGGGGTGAAACATATGTATATTATAGTGAATATTTAAATACATTTACAATACTAAAGAATTTCTAAAGATTATTGACATTTCTAAAGCTGCCCATATGTAAACACTTTTTCACCTTTAAGATACGGTCACTACTTCCATAGTGTATGTTTTGCATATCAAAACGTACAAAAAATTGCATGTGTAAACATTACGTATGAATACCTATGAATACTACTGAGATCAGTTTGGAATTACTTTGAAATACTTTTTCCTTAGTGGAACAATAAAGGAGATTTTGAAATATGTTCATACTACATTTTCCCATAAAAACAAAAGCTTATGTGCATTGTGCAGTTAGGAGCTGTCAAACACCAAAAAAAACAACAACAAAAAAAAAACTTAATCTAAACATTTACTAATTGGCTCATTTAATGTTTCGCAGCATGTGAAATCAAGTTCTATAATACCTCAAGAGATTAGAGTAGAATTTCAATTTATCTCAATGGAAGGTGCTTGACAGGCCAACACTTCACTAGTGACTATCCTGAGTTGTGAAGTGAAAGGCAGCAGATAAGGAAAGATAAGTCCATTTAACGGTTTTAAGAGACTTTTAAAATTAATCAAGGCACTGGTAAATTATCTGCTGTATTATAATGAAATACTTGTGTAAGGATAAAAGAAACTCAAATACTTTGATCTCCTGAGAAACAAACAATACACTGGCATCTTCAAGACACCCCACAGAGGGGTGGTGCAGGAAACGCCTCTCTCACATATGCATTGGTTCCTCCTCATCCCCTTCCTTCCCCTCACCTCAGAATAATTAGAGACCGACAAACAACCAATTTGCCTTTCAACCAAAATTCGAGGTCATACTAAAATGGAGTCAGATT